TATTTAATCATAGCTTGATTCAGTGGAGGACTGCAGCCACTAATTCTTCCTCAATTACAGAGGTTACTGAGGACCCGCCTTCCCTTTGATCTGACAAATCTGGGTGACCTGAGCCATAGGCGTGTCTAGCCCCTTTTTAGATGTGCTCAAGTACCCCTAAATTGAGCCCCAGCACCCCTAAAAATAAGAGTAAAAAGTCTTTTTTTTTTAAACAGAAGTTTGTCTCTGATAAGCAAATGTCATGATCCACTCTCTCCTATTCTTCCCCCGCCCCGCTCTCCCCGAAGCTGCGGACTACACATGCACACACACGCACAGGCCCACACTAGAGCCAGTTACAGTGTGACTGTCTGTGGTGTGGTGGCTCCAGTAAGTAGCGCAGACCAGGATTTCTTATCACTCAGCACCAACACATTACAGTCATTAGCAGCAGTCCTCATTTTTTTGCTGCACTGAACCACAGATCACTCTTTATATAGCAAGCTAATGGTCTCATAAAGCTCCGACCTTAGAATCACCCCTGACCTGAGCACTCTGCACAAAAACAGCCATGTAGGGCACATAAAATGTGAGACATTCAGGACACAAAAACAGCATGTCTCTCCAACTGAAAACAATAAAACAGAGTGCTCTATTTATTTATTTATTTGTTTATGAATGAGTTGGTTTGGTGACCACTGTCCTACACTGTGGGTGTATCTCATATCTTTAATTGTGCACTTTAATTTCCTTTCCTGTATCTTTGCATTGTGTTTTTGCTTCCTTCAAAGAGGTACAAAGATGCAAATACAAAACACATTTATCTTTATATGATCTTCACTTTCTTGTCACATTTCTTGTACTTCTGTTGAGCTCATACTGGACTGTGATAGACAACAAGGAGCTGATAAACACTTAATAAACAGATGAAAATGCTGTTGCATGTGCGAATGTAACTTCCTACAGTAAAAAGACTTCTGTTCACTCTGATATCCTCAGCTCCTCTTGCTCCTTGATTCCTCAGAATGCATCTAAAGAACTAATAGGTTCAAATAATTTCCAGATCATGTTCTGGAGAACATTCATGTAGAGTAACGCACTGAAACGTTTCTTTGTCAGGTCAGTCATGTTGGCACTGGCATAAATCTTTAAATGCCCACAGAATTCTAGGTTTGTAGGTTATATAAGTATGAAAATGCACCCATATTCTCACATAGTATTAGGCCTTCATTATTTGATGAATAGGATGATTAATAAGTATAAGTGGTGAAAACTAATCACAGACAAACCCATGGAAAGTGCTCCAAATTGATGCAGCTTTTTAAATTCCTTTGTAGGAAGAGGCATTTCAAATGCTTCACTTTAAAATGGATAAATTTCCAACATCTGCTCCCCTCAACCTCAGAGGGTTGGTCAAAACCCTGCTAAAAGGGTGATCTGAACAAATGAACAATAAAAAAAAAATCATTCTTGAAAATATTTTACCCATATTGAAGATTTTTTGAAAATCTGAACACATTTAACATTATAAAAAATAAAATACTGTCATTTTAACAATGATAAGGAGTTTTTGAACAAAGTTTACTGTATCTGAACATTCCTCACTTCCTACTGAGAACATAAAGTCAGCTTGAAGTTTTACCCAACAGTCTCTGTGATGACTGATACAGCAGACAGATCAACCACTTTATGAAGGTTTTCTGCTGAACCCTCTGCTCTGCACTGTAGGTGCTGGGATGAGACCTCATTCCATTGATGCTCTCAAGCCCAGCCACCAAGGAGACTATTGCAGCAAGATGAAAGCATAGGCTCTTCTATGATACCTATATACAACAATATTCTTCCAATATTCTGATGTTAAAACTCTTTAAAGTTCAGCCTGAAATATACATTTCACATAGGATTTGTAACAAGTGCTCTGAATGAACAGTTTGTCACATTACGAATAAGTTCCATCCTTCTGATTACTTTCTGCATAAAAGATTAATCTCTATCATGAAGTTGCTTAGAGTACTTACACAGGATTGCTTGATGATACAAATATTTCATAAAACTAAGTCAATAAGGGCTTAGTTGAGATTAAATCTGGTTAACGCTTGTGTGGTGTTCAGGTCTGTAGGACTAATTTTCAGTGTTTACCAAAAGAAAAAATTATGTGATTTATTATTATTTCAACCTCAGATTCATTGGTCTTTCCTCATTTTTGATGAAGAACATAAAATAACACATCAGTGACTTCACACTGTTCACCCCCTACACATTTCTATTTTATATATGCTGTTAGTGTGTGTGTGTGTGTGTGTGTGTGTGTGTGTGTGTGTGTGTGGACAACATGGACAGGCTGCTGACTGGCAACAGAGGCTAAAGGAGAACCATACACTGGCTTTACAGTTTAAAGAATGAAGGTTTTCTGCTGAACCCTCTGCTCTGCACTGTATGCACTGAGATGAGGACCCATTTCTGCATTCAAGCCCTGCAGTCAAGAAGACTATTGCAGCAAGATCAAAGCACAGGCTCTTCTATGATACCTACATATACAACAAACAGCATATACAACAGTTTTCTTCTAATATTCTGATATTAAAACTCTTTAAACTCTTTAAAGTTCGGATTATAATATACATTTCACATTGGATTTATAACAAGTGTTCTGAATAAACATTTTGACACTTCATAAATGAATAATATTTACTGAAGTTGATCATTGCTTTACTAAAATGTTAACGGCTTCCATCCTTCTGATCACTTTCTGCATTAAAGAAGGCAAATTCATCTCTATCATGAAGTCGATTAGAGTACTTACACAGTATTACTTGATGGAGTATATGTGAAATATACGTGATATATATATATATGTGTGTATATATATATGTACATATATATATATGTATATATATATATATATATATATATACAATACGTGAAAATATTTCAGAAAGCTTAGTCAATAAGGGCTGAGATGAGATTAAATCTGGATAAACGTGTTGATTAATAACAGCAGATTGTTCTCGTTGAGGGTTTCAGCTGCAAGTTTGAAGGATGTGCTCTGAATTTTGATTTTTACAATGTCTGTTTCAAATCTCCAACTCCTAAAAGGAATAAACTGTTGTAATTAACCACTGAAGCAAAACTATGTGTAATCATTTAAATGGCCAGGGCCCACCAGCCGGCCTAATGTTTTACTACATGTTTTTTTAAACTAAGAATAACTCAGCTAGTTTGCATTGTAGTCTGTATATTTACTTAATAACAAGCCTTAGTATATCATTAGCTTATGATATTAAGGGGTTAATTTAGTCTAATGTCCTGATGGACTGGGTTTTCATGCATCACCAATCAATATTAATTAAGTACCAGATTTATAATAGACTCGATGACAGTGATCTGCTTCACAGTTAAATGCATGACATACAGGTGAGTTTGATATTTTTAATATTTAATATTCTTAATTCCTGAATTCTTAAGGAAAAGGCTTTTTTTTCAGTTTGGCCACTTGTTCTGTAGTCAGAACTGAGGTGGGCCAAGAAGCAGCCAACTGAGGCAGGTCACTGACAGCTGCTGTAACATCTTTCAGACCCTCTGATGCCCAAATCAGCCCCTCTACTTGGTTCAACACTCCAGGACATCTAGATGATTCAACAGTTAACTATTGATTTATTAATTATAAAAGAGTTTAAAAAGACTTTAACATTATTGATAATTAAAGACTTTAATGAGTAATAGATTTTAGAAATCTTAGAAAATATTTCTCAGTAATGTCTATTGAGGATGATAATGACAATAATTTTATTTATTTGTGTGCACGTGTATTATTATTATTATTATTATTATTATTATTATTATTATTATTATTATAGGGTGAAAATACCACAATATACTTTATATACATTATAATATACATTATAATCAACATTTATACAAAGTGATGCTGCTCCCCCTGATTGGTCTGTTATTCCTGATTGGATGCAGAATTTTATTTTTATTTATTATTTAATTTTTTATTTCTACATCATAAATTCTCAAACATTTAACTTATATTTTACTTCAGTAGTCCTGTGTCATTACATCTGTAGTAATTAATGTAGATAGAAATGCAGATGCTTAATGCTGTAATTTGAAGTGAAGATGAAATGAAAGTCACATTAAATATTTCTAAACTTTAATTGTATTTATTGTTTTTGTTTATTTATATCTGCAGAACACTGAAGGCAAATTAAGACACCAACAGTGACCTCAGCTGATCAGGTTAGTGAAAATGCACCTCACAGCTTTAAACTCAATTTTACTACAACGACTGATTATTAATCCTCTGCTGCCACCTTGTGGAGAACAAAATGAATTACACTGACTAAAACAAAGTTTGCACCTACAGTATGTGTGTAAAAGTGTTTATTAAAGGATTGAAATAAAGAGTGTTGAATTGTGATGAAAAATACATTATATTTATTATATTATATTGTATTCTTTAATTTTCACTTATTTTTAATGATTTTGTTATACCTTGGTTTATATATTGCAAAATCATTAAAATGCAGCATATTTAGTTTATTATTGTGTATGTATGAGTAGTTTATTGTGTATGGGTGTGTGAGAGAGAGTAATCAGTGTGTGTGTAGTTTATTAATGTGTCATTTACTTGTGAATGTATGTGTGTGAGCAGTTTATCTGTGTTCATTGGAGTAGTTTATTTGTGTGTATGTGTGTGTGTGTGTGTGTGTGTGTGTGTGAGATGGTTATCAGTGTGTGGATCAGCTCTCTGCAGGTGCAGCATTAATGCTGTATTACACTGAAGTGTTTCCTCTCTCTGAAGTCAGTCTCCTGTATGTTGGTGTGTTTCTCACCACACTGCTGCGAGCGTCTCTCCTCACACACACACCTCTAGAGACGGAGGTGGAGTTCTGTTCATCAGTGCTGACGCTCTTTTGATAAATATGGAGAAAGAAAAAAATGCCTCCTCTGATTTGTCACTGAAAATGTTTGATGATTTCCTCTCCTCTTTCTAATAAGGTCATAGTGAGTGTGATTGGCGGCTGTGGGGAGCTCTCTCTCTCTCTCTCTCTCTCTCTCTCTCTCTCAGTTTCTTCAGTCTCTCTGGGGGAGTGGAGGTGAAGCTTGTTCTGCTGCTGAGTTGAACGGACTGTGTGCAGGTCAGAGGGAGATGGACAGCTGTGTGGGTCTCATTTTTCTGTCCTCCACAATCTCACTCAGCACAGCTGGTAAGGGCACTTTGTCAGTTTAATATATAAATAAATTCACATACCTGGAATGAAAAATATCATGTTTTTAGCAAAACGTTTTGTGTAATGTGTTGTGATTATTCGTTGTAATGGGTGTCAAAAATCATACAACCATATTAAAAATTACAATTTTGTTAGTAAATTATTATTATCTAAAATATTGTTAGTGTTAGTAAAAACTTCTCTCTCTCTCTCTCTCTCTCTCTCTCTCTCTCTCTATCTCTGTCTCTCTCTCTCTCTCTTTCTCTCTCTCTCTCTGTTGTGCAGTCAGTGTGAGGTTGGTGGATGGTGGCAGTCGCTGTGCTGGGAGAGTGGAGGTTAATGATGGAGGACAGTGGAAAGGAGTGTGTAGTGTTCAGTGGGATATGACTGATGCTGCAGTGGTGTGTAAAGAGCTGGGCTGTATGAACGCTCTACGCACTGTGAGTTTTGGATCAGGATCAGGATCAGTGATGATGGGGTATGCAAACTGTAGATCAGAGTCTTCACTGAAGAACTGTTTTGTTGGTACGTCTTATCGTTTTTGTGATGCAGCAGATGCCGGAGTCATCTGTTCAGGTAAGTTGTGTTTTATATTAATATGATTTTAATATTCATTACTCTATGTTACTAGTTTACTTCAGTTTTGGGAGGGTTATTTTAAAAATGTATTCTGTTATCAGATTACTGATTACCTGTTAAAATGTAACTGTAACCTCACCCAAAGGTTTACTATATTAATGTAACGTAATGCAATGTTAAAAAAATTATTTCCACAAGACTTTTTAATAAGAATTTAGTGAGACAGTAACACACAAACACAAAATCTTTTAAAAACTCTTTTATGAAACAGAATGAGAGATTATAGGTGTCTCGAATGTTGTGCCTCACAGAAAGACACTGATCTCACTTTTAGCGAAAAGGCCAAACCTAATATATGAAAATATTATTTTTAGTATAAAGATGATATATTAAACGTGTAATGCAGTATAATGTGTTTGAGTTTAGACAAGCATAGTCAAATCTTGAAATTCAGATATTAAGCTTTGCTCCCCAGAAAAAAAACAATTGAGCGATTTCACTACACTGAGGCTAAAAGCTCTCAGACCAAAACACAATAAGTAATCAGTGTAGAACGATCTAGTACACTGGACCAAATGCAAAATAGTTAAAACTCTACTGCTGTCCTGAGACTTTTCCTTATTTGAGTTACTTATTAAAATTCTGTTGTTTTTAATGCCAAAGTCAAAAGACCAATCTGGTTTAGATCTCATTTTGAGACCCCTGAATATCAAAAATCATAAATAGAGGTCCTTCTACAACCTCTGACTGACCATCATATGTGTTCTGTCTGCTAAAAGGTTGAACTGGATCATAAGGTTTCATACTGGTGCGTCATATTGGAGTTTAGTAATTTTTAGACACTCCCTAATCAGCTCTCAGCGGCTTCAGCCCATAGAAATCCACGAGTTTAAAAACAGCGACGCAATTCACACATCACGTTGACCACGAGGACTTAGCATGTGTGTCTTGAGTGAGTGACTTTCTAAAGTTTTAGCGAAGATCCGTTCAGTAGTGCAGTTCAGAAAAGCACCGTTCAAATCCGGCATTTACTCCATTTAAATGCCCAGTTTAAATCTCCATTTAAATTCTCACAGCAACGAGTTCAGTATTAAACTTTCCATCGTGTCTTAAACAGTCCAGAGTTTAGTGTTGATAATGAGAACTTTACAGCTAAATACACGTTAAAACCACAGACTTAACGCTAAAAACTGACACAAACTGCTTAACCATGCGGTGATTGCATGCTTCTGAGCTGAGATAGTGGGGGAGGGGCGGGAAAACTGCAGTGTCCCGTTGACTACACTGAGAGCACTTTCCCTCTTTCTTCAAAATCACACAAACAGGCCCTATACACATTTTAACAGATAAATAACAACAAATATGACAATTTATTATTATAAATGATTATAAAATCAATAATATTTAGCTCTGTATTTCAGTTTACATCGATTTTGAGTATGTCTGATATTAAAAATGCAGCTCAATTTGAAATGAAAGATAAAGTCTATCTTGCTGTTTCAGAGTTTTAGCTCTCAGCATGAATCCAAGAGGACAGAAAATCAGTAAAAACATGTCTGCCTTATGCTAATTGTTTATTTTTACTCATAATAACCAAATGAATGAGTCGCCATCAATATTATTGCACTTTCAGCTCACAGACATTCCAGACTAACAATTTCTAAAAAGGTATCTGAGGTGTAACTTTTTTTTCAAGATCCCTAAATGCAGAATAAATAAATAATAACAATAATAATAATATTGCAGGTGCTAGGTAAATTTTTGATCAAAAATGACCCAAATTCATAAAGATTTCACATTTCTGTTAGCATTCACATGTTAAACAATGGCATATCTGAGTGGCCCAGGCTCTCCTGAAAATAACAACATATGGCACGTGTGACTGTCTCATGTAAATACTTCATAATTGCAACTGTAATTGACCCAAAATACTAAACCTTCCCCCAAATTTTAGGGTTCTACGGGTTAAATAAGCATGGAAACAAGCATTAAGTGGGAGCTGATCGTCTCAGTTACACATAATGATAATTTACACATATTAACATTTTAAATACATCATTCAAAAACTACTGAAGAAAGAAATCATACAAGTGAAAATGAAGCTAACTTAATGCTCTCTGTTCACCTTTCAGACTGGTAGTTCAAACCTGTCAGGTTAAGGGTTTCAACAGTGTGATTTGGTCAAGCTGTAGAATTTTACGGAGTAAAAAACAAGAATAAAGAGTTTCCTGTCTGATCAGATCAGATCAGTCTGACACTGTAGAATCTGGCAATGTGGAAATCTTCAGGAAAACGCTGCAGATCTCAGTCCTACCAATGAAAATAACACAGGGGGAGAGCGGAGCACAACCTAACACATTTTAGTTTATTTGTGTGAAATAATTTAAAAAAAATGTTTAAGTTTTAATAATCTTGTTTTTATACAAGTGAAACATACATCTCTGCTACAAACGGACAATTTTAGCACCTACTGTTCATGCACAAGTCCACCACAAATGACGGTCAGTGCAGTGTTACAGTTCACACCATGGGTGGGTTAACTGTAACACACAGAGGGTCAGTTTAACACTTGCTAGAAAATTCTGATGAATTAGTGCAAACAAAGTTAATTCAACATAATTCAGTGTTATAAGGAACAAATATATTTCCAACCAAACTGCATTATATATTATCTCCCTATAAGACAGACAGACAGACAGACTCAATCTATAGATACACACACATCAAATTATATGTGAAAGCTAACATGACACTGTGTGTCAATGACAAATGTATTTTTGTCCAGTGTAGAACAGCAAATACAAACATCACGCATCAGTAAAATATGGAACATTGTTTCTGAATAACTACAGCTTGACCAGCTGTTAATGTCAATTTTATTAATATACTTATTTAAAACCAAAACACTAACATCTGAAAGACACTAATAAAGTAGAAGTCCCTGTTCTCAGGTGTCCTTTTTTCATTTTAAAATCTGTGTAAACATTTGGAACAAACAGACATAATTTACTTTGTTTCTCTTTGTTTACTAAAGGTGATTTAGCTGTAAGCTATGTAAGAACTAACACCACATAAGGAGGCTGTATATCAGCCTATCTAGCACTTATGCTTGTCTTTTGCATCAAAATGGTTCTGTGCTGTATGAAACAAGATGGTGATTAAAGTAATATAAAGGTGGATTTTGTGATTTATATAAACAGCTCAGTAACCGAAAAACACTTACATGTCCTGAAAACACTGATCAGCAGGGATTTCTTTAAAACACTGACGAATCGCCCCCTGAATTTTGGTGGGAGATCGCGGCTCGAAAATGTGGTGATGTAGCCAGCAGCACGCGCTGCTTGACCTCGTATAACAACATAAAAGGTCTGTGTTAAATTGAGCCGCATGTTAGGCTGTTCCCCTCTGCTCCCTACTTAATCATTTTTTTAGACTGGCTGAACAACAAACCGTGAACTGCTGCTGTGAGGGGGGCTATACTTCAGAAATCTCTCCTGGCAGCAGGATCGCCCCCTTCACCCAAATTATTTACTAATTATTTAAATTAAATTTGTATGCAAATTATTTAAATTTATTACATGATTCATGTGACATATTGATCATTCAAAATAAAATCATTAAAATAGTGAATTTTGGTGAAAGACGATGAGTTTGCTTTTGAATGTAATCCTGTTGGTATTCACTCTGTTTTTATAAGGTACCTGTAATCTGATTACTATCTTTGTTATTGCAACTGTAACAGAATACCGTTACCTTTTTTGTACCCTGATTATGTAACGACGTTACATCTATCCCTTCAGTACTCAGCCCTGGTTTACTTAATGATTACTTGATGATAGGTCTTTAGTCATATCACGCTGATAGATCCATGGTGGTTGGGATGTTTTGATGCAGTGCTCATTAATCCTAAAGGTGATTAAAATCAATTCTGTCAAACCCAGACTTACTGGTGGTCCTCATGAATGTTCTGGAAGACGAAGTTCCTAAAAGGAATTAATAGTCTGATATGAACTGATAGCTATTACTTTTTATATGCTGTGCCCAATATCTACTTAAATACTAACAGGTCACAGAAAGTCCAGACTTACTGATGGTTTCCACCTGTGCTCTGGGAGAGTGGAGGTACTTAATGGAGAGACCTCGTCCACAGTGTGTGATGCTGACTTTGGCCAGCAGAACGCAGAGGTTGTGTGTCGAGAGCTGGGCTGTGGGCTTCCTGTGGAGGTGCTGAGAGCAGCTGCTTTTGGCAGAGGGGAGGGTCAGGTGTGGTCAGAGGAGCTTCAGTGTAGAGGCAGTGAATCTCAGATTTACTCCTGTCCAACTTCATCTACACTCAAACACAACTGCTCCCATGCCAGTGATGTGGGTCTGGTGTGTTCTGGTAAAGTATTAACATTTCTTAAAAGGTGTTGAACACTTTCAGGAAACCTGTTGATTGAGCGAAATTATTTGATCATTGATGTGCACTGATCCAAACGCAGCCTTCTGATGTGATGTTCATTCAGGTCACACAGGGGCTCAACTGGTGGACAGCTCTGACTCCTGTTCAGGTCGAGTGGAGCTCCAGTACCTCAGTGAGTGGGGCACAGTGTGTGATGTAAGCTGGAATATGAGAGCTGCCAGTGTCCTCTGTGGTCAGCTGAAGTGTGGGAGTGCTGTGGCTGTGTTGGGGTCAGACTGGTTTGGGGAGGGGAGTGGCCGGATCTGGGCTGATGTGTTTGATTGTCAGGGGAACGAAACACACCTGTCAAAATGCCCCATTTCATCATGGAGTCAAACTGCATGCTTTCATAAACAGGATGCTGGAGTCATCTGCAGTGGTGAGCAGCTGTTAATGTATTTTGTGGAAACTACATTAAATTCTGTTATTATAAAAAGTAAAAATGTTTGAATAAGTCTGTTGCATCATTAGTCAAAAAGAAAAGCTATATTGTAATGTATAATTCCTCTTCAGGTTCCTCTCTGGCATTTCATGAAGGGGCGAGTGCGGTTGTCTGGAGGGATGGAGTGTGAGGGGGAGGTGGAGGTTTACTTCATGCAGAACTGGAGGAGAATTCTGCTGGACTCCTGGAGTGAGTCTGAGGCCTCTGTGGTCTGCAGACAGCTGGGCTGTGGCTCTGTGTTCAACTTCTCCAGCTCCTCTACATCCAGTCCTGAACACAGACACATGTGTGTGACGGGTTTCAATTGTTCTGGGAGTGAAGCTCATCTGGGGAACTGCAGCAGCGCACAAGCAGTCAACTGCAGCTCCAGAGAACAGCTCTCAATCACCTGCTCTGGTAGGAATTACAGCAGTTAAATGATCAAAGTTACTAAGAATCTTTTTTAAAATTTATCTCGAAAATATATTGTAATCTTTATAGTTTATTTCACAGTCAGGACAATTATTTTCTTCATTATGTAGAAAATCAACAATACGCTGTTCTTATCCTAAAACTGTGTGTGTGTGTGTGTGTGTGTGTAGGTAAGTTTAATTCAGCTCACAGCTCCATCAGGCTGGTTGGCTCTGGGGGAGACTGTGCAGGAAGGCTGGAGGTTTTCCACAGCGGCTCATGGGGGACAGTGTGTGATGACCTGTGGGATATTAAGGATGCGCAGGTGGTCTGCAGACAGCTGCAGTGTGGAGTGGCCCTCAGTGCTCCGGTACCAGCCTGGTTTGGTCCTGGAGCTGGACCTATATTGCTGAATAAGGTGGAGTGTGAGGGGAACGAGACGTCCCTGTGGAACTGTAGATCTCAGCTGTGTGGAGAGGATGAATGTGAACACATGGAGGATGTAGGAGTTGTGTGCTCAGGTAAGATGTGCTAAATGCTGTTCTTGAAATTTTGAGCCAGCTGTATCTGATGGATCCTTCAAAGTTGCACAGTCTTTTAAAATGTTATAAAGATACACACAACACATTTTAAACTACTGATATGCAAACTGGGTGACAATTTGTAGAAAAGACAACATTCACAGTAAAACACTAAACTTCTAAAGCAGCATATTTTAATACTAGGTAACTGTAGAAGTAAAACTACATAGCAGAGTATTCATTTAAAGCCAAGTTTTTCTTTTCCCAACAGAATTTAAAGAGATAAGACTCACTGAGGACTGTGAGGGGAATCTGGAAGTGTTCTACAATGGAACCTGGGGTAATGTGTGTTTTAATGAAATGTCTGACGATACAGCAAGTGTGGTCTGTCGAGAGCTGAACTGTGGAAGATCTGGCAGTGTGTCCTGGGGCAGAACAAGAGTGGAATCAGCTCCTAATTGGCTGGATGGTGTGAAATGTAGGAAACATGACTCCACTCTGTGGCATTGTCCATCTTCTCTCTGGGGACAAAACAACTGCGATAAAAACAGCGAGGTGGCTCGCGTTACCTGCTCAGGTAAGCAGTTCCTCTCTATAGATTATAGTGCTTATATGTATACTACCATGCAAAAATATGATAGATAGCTAGATATTGTGGTTTTTACTTATGTTTTTGGCCTGTTCAGAGTCTAGATTTAAACCCTATATAGAATATTTGGTCTCACATTAAACACAAGCTAGCTTGGCAATGTTTTTCAACTGTTTGAAGCCATCAGTGCTGAGAGGAATGATATTGACTCTTCTTTCAGTAAAAAAAAAAACCTGTCTGCAGGTTTACCCACAAGACTTCAGCGTTTAAAGAAATCAAAAGGAAAAGCTCTAACATACTATGATACTTTATCTATTTGTTTAATTCTTGTTAATTCACTGACCAATATTTTGTTGTTGATATTTAGCCGTTTTGGGCTTGGCCTATTTGTCTGCACGAGAGTGTATTGGAATGAGCAAAAATACACTATATTGCCAAAAGTATTCACTCACCCATCCGAATCTTTGAATTCAGGTGTTCCAATCACTTCCATGGCCACAGGTGTATAAAACCAAGCACCTAGGCATGCAGACTGCTTCTACAAACATTTGTGAAAGAATGGGTCGCTCTCAGGAGCTCAGTGAATTCCAGCGTGGTACCGTAATAGGATGCCACCTGTGCAACAAGTCCAGTCGTGAAATTTCCTCGCTACTAAATATTCCACAGTCAACTGTCAGTGGTATTATAACAAAGTGGAAGCGATTGGGAACGACAGCAACTCAACCATGAAGTGGTAGGCCACGTAAAATGACAGAGCGGGTTCAGCAGATGCCAGCAAGTCCAGTTGAATGCAGTGGTGTAAAGCACGCCGCCACTGGACTCTAGAGCTGTGGAGACGTGTTCTCTGGAGTGACGAATCACTGGGTTTGGCGGTTGCCAGGAGAACGGTACTTGTCTGACTGCATTGCGCGGGTTGTTTTTCAGGAGTTGGGCTCGGCCCCTTAGTTCCAGTGAAAGGAACTCTTAATGCTTCTTTTGGACAATTTCAACAGTTTAGGGATGGCCCCTTCCTTTTCCAACATGACTGCGTACCAGTGCACAAAGCAAGGTCCATAAAGACATGGATGAGTGAGTTTGGTGTGGAAGAACTTGACTGACCTGCACAGAGTCCTGACCTCAACCCAATAGAACACCTTTAGGATGAATTGGAGCGGAGACTGTGAGCCAGGCCTTCTCATCCAACATCAGTGTCTGACCTCACAAATGCGCTTCTGGAAGAATGGTCAAAAATTCCCATAAACACATTCCTAAACCTTGTGGAAAGCCTTCCCAGAAGAGTTGAAGCTGTTATAGCTATATATATAGGGTGGGCTGACATCATATTAAACCCTATGGATTAAGAATGGGATATCACTCAAGTTCATATGCGTGTGAAGGCAGACGAGCGAATACTTTTGGCAATATAGTGTATAGTATAATATTTCAGAGGGCCTTTGCCATGAAAAACAGCTCATGAAATAATCAGTCTGCATATAGACAGAGTGATCTGGGTGTTTATGTTATTTATGATTTAATTTTTGTTGTCATGGCAGACCAAAGACGCCAGCACACCCGTCAGACATGCTCTTCATCTCTCTACCAGAAACAGCGCTCAAGTAGGAATATTTATTTCATTAATATACAGAACAAAGTATTACTTCTCTGCTAAAGTTTTATTTTTTTTCTAAATGACATGAAACAGCTTGTCTTGTGTTATGTGTATTCATGTTCTTAGTGTTCTCTATTTTTTGAAAAATAGTAAGCTTACCTTATGCAATACTGGTCATGATTCATGATCAATTTGTTGTGAAAAATATAACTGAGATCAACCTTTATTGTGCTGTCATTTTGGAAAATCAAAATTGTAATATATTACAGTATATTGTTGAAAATTCTAAGACCTGAGACTATCATTATGGGTGATGTGTGTGATGTAGAGCACCTGCCTCTCAGGCTGAAGGGAGGAAAAGGAAGCTGCTCTGGGAGATTGGAGGTGTATCATAATAAAATTTGGGGCTCCGTCTGTGATGATCTGTGGGACATCCGGGATGCTCAGGTGGTCTGCAGGCAGCTAGGCTGTGGGCCGGCGCTGAGTGCTGATAGGAGTGCTGTCTTTGGTGCTGGTGAAGGGCCTATCTGGCTGAACAGAGTGAAGTGTAGAGGGAATGAGATTCACCTGTGGGACTGTCCTCATTCCCTGAAGAAACACACTGACTGTTCCCACAGTCAGGACGCTGGAGTCACCTGTACAGGTCAGAGGAGCTGCTGGATTTTGGAGTGTATGACTCCAGTCAGATCGCATTTATCCCAGTGTTAATAATCTGCAAGTCTTTAATGAAAAGTGGATTGGCGTGATTTTGGTCATGTTGTCTAATTTGACATATCGTCGCTGTCCAAAGAAAACCAACTATCTCCAAAATGGCAAATTTACAGAAGGCAAAACATTCTTAACTTTGAATGCAAGTTAATGAAAAAAAGTTTTATTCTAAGCACATTTTTTATTGGTCCATTCATTATAATATTTCCACACACTGTAAAGGGCAGCCATGTTCAAATAGAGTAGAAAAATAAAAATGGACATATGTGTTTTCTTTTGGACAGCGATGATATGCAGTGCTTACACTGTGAGTATTCAAAATCAGAACTATCAGTTAACATTAGCTTCACTTTAGTCAGTGTAACTTTCATTTGGTGCTTTGTTTGTTATTTTTTAATGTGTTGTTTCTGTATGTTCAGACATATCTGTGCCTTCTACTACCACACCCATAAGTACATCCACTGCCTCCACCACCACAGGTATTTCTTATGTCTTAGGTCATTTTTAATAAGTGATTCTACATAGATTGTTCAGTGCCCTAGAGCTTATATTCTGTATTTCTATCTGCAGTTGGTCAGTCAAAGACAACAACAACTCTATCGCCATCTGTTCTGTTCATCTATCAAGTGTCTCTCCTGGTTCTGGGAGTGGTGCTCTTCCTGGCCTTAGTGCTTCTGGTTGTGCTGTTTTACCAGAACAGAGTGCTCAGGAGAGGTAGAGAGAGTCGGAGATCATCTACAATCCACTTTCAGTACATTCTCTAAACATCATTAGTCCTTCAATCTGTCATCAGTCTTCTCTTCTACTGAACTGGCTCCATGATTCTCTCTGTCTCCCTCACAGTGCTCTCTAAGAGGAGGCGTAAGACTCTGACTGAGGCAGTCTATGAGGAGATCGACCGCAGATACATCACTAAAAGAAAGGACTTGACTCAAAGAGGTGAGTGATATATGGATTGTTCTGCAGGATCACTGTATTAAATTAAAGTATATGTACATTAAACATAACAGAAGACACCCAGCTATACCTGCTCACTCTCAGTGATCAAAGCAGTAGTTAATTTTGTTGAATGTATTTTGATTAAACAGTTTAACAGAAATAAAATAAATGTAATCAAAATTAGTTAAATGAGAGTTTAGTGTATGTTAGATGAAATGTGCAGTTAGAGTAGATCTACATGTGGTGTAGTGTGTTAATTCTGCTGATAAGCATCTATCAGGCAGCTAAAGTTGAACTATGTTCTTCCTGTAAAACTTCCATTTTAGTACATACAGAGAAACCACACAGCTGCAGGTGTGTGTGTGTGTGTGTGTGTGTGTGTGTGTGAGAGAGAGAGAGAGAGAGAGAGAAAGAGAGAGAGAGAAAGAGAGAGATTATATCTGTAAGAGAGGGAGAGAGGGAGAGGGAGAGAGAGACAGAGGGAAAGGAAAAGAGCGGGGGGCTAAGACTGTGTGTATGTGTGTGCATGTGTGTGTATTTTTGTGTGTGTGCCGTGTGTGTGTGTGTGTATCAGTATGTGTGTGTATTGGTGTGTATGTGTGTATTGGTGTATGTGTGTGTGTGTGTGAGAGAGAGAGAGAGTGAGGCTTTGAGAGATGGAGAGGGAGAGAAGGAGAAGGAGAGAAGGAGAGGGAGAGAGAGATAGAGGGAAAGGAAGAGAGTGCAGGCTAAGACTGTGTTTGTGTGTATATGCGTGTGTGTGTGTATTTTTGTGTGTGTGCTGTGCATCATCTGTATGTATAGATATGTGTGTGTGTGTGCGTGTGTGTATTAAAGTGCAATTGAGTATAGGTGTGTGTGTGTATTGTGTGTGTGTGTATTGTGTGTGTGTGTGTGTGTATTGTTGTGTGTGTGTGTGTGTGGGTGTGTGTATTAATGTGTATGTGAGTACAGGTATGTGTGTATTGTTGTGTGTGTGTGTATTGTTGTGTGTGTGTGTGTGTGTGTGTGTGTGTTGGTGGGCGATACAAAGACTGAAGGAGTCACTGAGTGGGCAAGGCAGTAAATCAGTGAGTGAGTGAATGAATGAGTTAGTGAGTGAGCGAGCACGTGCCCGAGTGAGTGACCAAGTGAGATAGTGATGGGTGACTAGGTGACCAAATGAGGGATGGAGGAAGTGAGGGATCAAATGCGACACTGTGCAGGTGACCAAGTTTCAGAACTGAATAGTGTTTGGGTGAGAGATCAAGTGACCCAGTGAGTGATGAAGAGATTGAGTGAGTGACTGAGTTAGTGACTGACTGAATGATCAAGAAACCAACTGAGAGATCAAACAAATGAGTCACAAACTCATTGACTGACTGTCAGAGTTAGTGACTGAGTGTGGCATTGACCAAATGAACGTGTGACTGTGAATGAGTGGAGTGACCAATTAAGTGATCAAGTGACCAAATGAGTGACCAAGTGATCAAACGAATGACTGAGTCTAAGAATGAATGACCAAGTGAGTGACTGAGTGACCAAGTGGTTGACTGAATGACCAAGAGGGTGACCAGGTGTCTAAATGAGTGACCATAAGAGTGACTGATTATCCGAATGAGTGACCAAGTGAGTGACCAAATAGTGACCAAGTGAGTGACCGGGTGACCAAGTGAGTGACCAGGTCTCCAAGAGAGTGACTGAATGTCCTAATGAGTGACCAAATGAGTGATCAATTGACCTAGTGAGTACCAAAGAGACTGAGTGACCTAATGAGTCAGTGACCAACTGAATAAGTGATTGACTGTGAGTTAGTAAGTGAGTGTCTAAGTGAGTAACCAAGAGACTGAATGAATGATCGATTGAGTTATCAAGTGAGTTAAGTGTTTGAGTGAGTGATTGAGTGATAGTCTAATTGACCTAGTGAGTGACCAAAAGACTTGAGACCTAGTGAGCCACGACAAATGAGTGACAGAGTAAGTGACCAAGTTTGTGACTGTTAATGACCGAGTAAGTGAGTGACTGAGTGAGTGACCAAGGGTCTAAATGAGTGACCAAGTAAGAGAGTGAATGAGTATGTTAATGAGTCAGTGATTGAGTGACCTATTGAGTGATGTAGTGAGTTAGTGACAGAATGACGTATTGAGTGATGTAGTGAGTTAGTGACTATGTGAATTGACTGAGTGACTGAGTGACCAATTGAGTGAGCAAGTGATTGAATAAATGACAGTCAGTGAGTTAGTGGCTGACTGAGTGACAAATTTAGTGATTGAATGTCAGTCTAAGTGACCAAGTGACCAAATGAGTGAATGACTGAGTAAGTGTTTGAGTGAGAGATCAAGTGACCTAGTGAGTGACCAAGAGATTGAGTGGAGTGACTGATTGTGTGATCAGGTGACCATGTGAGTGACCATGTGATCAAGTGAGTGACAGAGTGTCCAATTGAGTGACAAGGAGAGTGACTCAGTGAGTGATCAAATGAATGACCAATTGACCTAATGATTCACAAAGAGGCCGAGTTAGTGGGTTAGTGGGTGACTCACTGAGTGAATGGCCATGTGACTGAATGAATGACCAGGTTAGTGACCGGGTTAGTAGCTGAATGAGTAGCTGAGTGACTGAGATTCTAAATGAGTGACTGATTGACTAAATAAGTTTCTACATCTGTGATCAATTGAGTGAGTGATCAAATGAGTCAATGAGTGAGTTTTGTTGTGTCTGCGAGCGCCCTCTACTGTCTGCACTGATATTACGTCTTGTTGATTACCTGCAATAATATCAGTGCAGACAGTAGAGGGCGCTCTTAGACACAACAAAACTCACTCACTCATTGACCCATTTGATCACGCAGCTCACAATGATCGACAGCACTCACAGGATTATGGGTAGCTCTACATTGTGAACATGTTTCATGACTGTTCTGCTCTCCTCTAACAGGAAGTATCCTCTCTGAAGAACAGCATTCAGGATATGAGGATGTGGGTGAGGAGCTATTCTCAGGTAAGAGGACCAGAACATGTGTATGTTAAACTCCATTATAATTTATTATAAATCCAGGTTTTTTAGCCACAGTTATGCAAAAAATGTTTACAATCAGAGGTGCCAACTTAGGTTAAATATTGGGGGCACAAAACAAGAAAAGGAAGTATGAATCTGCATCCTAATCTGTTGATAAACGCTTTATTTGAGGGAAGGAAATTGCAGTAAGAGCAGAGTCATAGTTTAACCTACAACCCCGTATCCAAAAAGTTGGGATGCTGTGCAAAATGTAAATAAAAAACGAATGTAATGATATGCATATCATGTAACTCCTATATTTAATTGAAAATAGAATAAATACAACATTTCAAATATTGAAAATGAGAAATTTAGGCTCATGCAGTGATTTTCACTATAGAGTCCTGTCTGTTAATGCAGTCCCATGCATACAGTAATCTCTCCATATTCTCTGGATCTTTTAATGATATTATGCACTGTTGTTGATGAAATCTCCAAATTCTTTGCTATTTTACACTGAGAAACATTGTTCTTGAATTGTCACAATATTTGCCCCTGCAGTCTTTCACAGAGTGGTGAACTCCTCCCCATTTTCTCTTCTGAAAGACTCAGCCTCTCTGGGATGCTCTTTTATACCCAGTCATGTTACTGACCTGTTGCCAATTAACCTAATTAGTAGTGAGATGTCCCACCAGGTGTTTATTTTAGCATTGCTTTATCAGTCATTTGTTGCCCCATAACAGCTTTTTTTTACACGTATTGCTGTATCAAATTCAAAATGGGCATTTCTCAGTATCAATATTTAAAATGTTGATTTACACATCATTAAATTCTGTTTTTATTTACATTTTCACAGCATCCCAACTGGATTTTTTGGAAACTGGGTTGAATGTAAAATACAGTTTTTAATTTTTGCTATCAATCACTTCTGCGATGAAGTAATGTGATCACTTTGCTTTGCTGTCCCGTCATAATATGTCCCCTCATAATGTTAATTTATATCTTTATGAAGTGAAGATATCTGTAATTTAAAATGCTACCTATGTCTAAAAGGGCTGACTTGCAGGGATATGTCTGTACATGCCAAGACTAAAGACCACCCATAAAACATCAACACACAACAGCAACACTTATAGGAACACAATGAGCAATAGAGTGACACTTTACTGTAACCAGTCACTGTCTTGCTACTACTCTACAGAAAGGTGTTGGTCCCAGGTAAAAGGCAGATCTAAGTGGTTACCAGAAGTTGCAGAAGTGCTTGACTCTGATCTTATAAGCAGTTTTGGATTTAATGTTTGCCCCTTAATTCTCTGCATGTGTCTTCTTACTGTGTGTCCAAAGAAACAACCACTCTCTGGAAGACGTGCATGTGTGTGTGTTTGTGTGTGGTACAATAAACGTCTGGTTTTGGACATTGTGTGCAACTATCCCTGTCTCTGACCGGACAGCCGTAGTGATTGCCAATTTAAGGGAACAGCCTAGAGATATTACTAGAAGATCTAGCCACCTATTTTACAACCACTTGTTTATATTGGCGTGTGCAGAGTGACAGAGCCTCCCAGACCTGCACTGAAGGGCACAGAATTTTTCCAATTTCCAAGCGCAGCAAAATACAGTGAGATAAGGCATAAGAATAAGCAAAAATGAAACTGAAAACACACCAAATTTTTACAAATAAATTATTTCATTCATGACTGTTATCAAATGATATACAAGTTAAACATTCCATGCTTCAAACAGATTTCCTGGTTGGTCCACTGGACTGAAACTATTTCCCAATGACAAGTCAAAACGCTATTGAGGGTAAACAAGTGTACCCGCTCTTTTCAGAAGTAACGCACAGCGTTAGTTTGGCAGGCCACAAAGTCAAGCTCAGGCCCCAATCTCAAATCACACAACTCAGCTGATCACCTGCTATGGAATTTGTGTTGAGCACAGCCTGTGCAGCTGGTTCAGCAGGATAGCTATGTCTTATCAATGCTAAAGAAAGTAAGGGTTTTACTTGATATGGTTATGAAATTAATATATTTCGTAAACTGCTTGTGTTTTCAGAAGCATGCAAGGTGAATTTAGCTGCCTGGAGTGGGTTTTAAACAGATAATGTGAATCTGTAGTTTGGCAGGACAGTATATGTCCAGGTTTCATTTTACTACCCAGAGGCGCTGCTTGGAAGCATCTAGTGGTGATGCTTCAAAGTAGCGCCTTTGGACAGTAAAATGCCAATCTGGACATATACTGTCCTGCCAAACTACAGACTGGCAGGACAGTGCAGGCAGTGATGCAAGCCTGTTTCACTGTATGCCAAATGTTTATCCAATTTATCCAGTTGGAGTGTGGCATGTTTGGCATACAGTGATGCAAGCTTGTTTTCACTGTTTATGAGAACAGGGTTATGTCACTGTTTTCACTGCTCTAATGAATCCTTTAATCTGAAGTGAAATTTGTTGGTGAAGTGGTTTGGACCAGTTTGTTCTGTGATTCTGTAAGCTTAAATTTGCGGTTTAATAAATTAAAAGCTGCTTGAATTTATTGAGTTGCTGTTTATACCTCTCAGAGGGAACTTGAGTTTTATTGCTTAAATCATTACACGTACACTGGCTAAATTCATCGGGGCTCTTATTTAAGCTGCTTCAGCCTGCCTGTTCTTGCCATTTCCTCTGTGAGCCTCTTTGCAACCTCCTGCTGGCTGGAGGTCTACCTGGTATAATCGTTTTGTGTTTTTTTCTAAAGCATCATTTACGCTGTGTCTGACTTGCTCAATGTCACGTTGTCATTGATGCCCACTCTGGTTTTTCTGCTGCTCTTCCTGCGTTAGGCTTTTCATATATGCACATAGAAGGACAGAGAGGTCCCAGAACAGAGCCATACTGCCAACTTACTGCAAATGGAATAAAATATTTCCTTTGACAAAGTGGTCCTGACTGAATTATACTTTTATTTAGCAGAGTGGCTGATTTGACTTATCTGTTTGGATAAGGGATAGGCTATCTGTAGATCTTTCTGGTTGCTCCACTGCACAGCACAAATGTATGTATGAATGGGCATTGCATGCGAGTGTCTTCATAAAAACATTTGTGTTTTTATGAATAGTTGTCAGTTACAGAGATCTCATTTTGTGATATTAGATACACGTTTGTGCTCCTTTTTTTTTGAACGGTCAGCTTCACCACTGAACAAGTCCTTCTCTTTTTGCCTTTGAGTTGCCAGCTGTTCAACACTAAGTTGAATATGTAAGACGATTTGTTTCCATTTTCAAATCTTTTTCCGCAATACAGTTAGAAAGTTGTACAAACAGATAAACACACCTTGTTTTATCACTCTGGTCAAAATGAAAAATGTAACTAACTGATACTGAAATCTGTTGTAAAGCTCCTACAGTGGTGCCACAGTTGTTTCTAGAGAGAGAGATATTCTGGTTGAAAGGTTAGGAAAACTCCTTTCTGATGATCTTGAAGGTATAAGGAACTTTTTAATAATTACAGCTGCTTTTGAGTGGATCTTTAGGGATGGGCTTTTTGAATTTGTGTCTTGCTAGCTGCACGAGAAACCCAGGGACATAACGATACTGCTAGGAGGCTGAATATAATATCTGTATATATTAGCTTCTACATCAGTGGTGCTTTAGTGGATTTCTTTGTTGTTATGGAGGACATTTAGTAGTTGTATGATATATTTACATAATAAATGCTGAGTATTGTAGTGAAAATCATGAATGTTGTCAAACTGATGAGGCTGTGGAGTACTATGCTGCGCTGCAGAATATTACAAAACATGACTTTAGATTAGAACGCCCCTAAGCGATATTTTGCATTGTTGGGTGTAGGACTCAGTATTTAAATTCCTACGTAGTCCACTATGTAGGGAGCAGGGAGCCATTTGAGATTCAGCCCCAGCGTGAAAAAAGTGTCGTCATCAGACTGGCTGAAGAAGCCTTGCGGTGGTAATTTGGTGACCAAAAAGCACTTATAAACTGAAAGCATTTACATTAAACGCTGCTATGTTACAGATGTTCACTGTTCACGACAAACGTCTTAAAAAATCATGAAATGTCTGCAGTTTACAGTGACTGGTGACCAAACTTCTTCTCCTCATTCAGTGGTCAGTGGTTGCTTTGCAATGATAGCTACTGTACTCTAAAGGAACTCCATTGCTTGGGGTAATTCTTGTTTATGTCGATTGGTATTAATAATAACTTAAACAATGATCTCAAACCTTGTGTATTTTAATATATTTTATGTTGGCCGCCGTTTTATTAACGCACTAAGCCACTCGAGGCAGTGCGTTACTGCGATTTTAGCACGGGGAAGGGAGTTTTACCAGCTAGAGTGAGTCCAAAATGAATGGGTTGATATGGAGCATTTGAGCAAAATCATAGTTTATAAATGCTTAAACCTTTTTAATGTAAAAGAATGCAGTCATTTCCTGAACACTGAACAGCATAAAACATTTTAACACTGCTGTTATATTTTTTAAGGGGTTTTAAACTCAAGCTATAGGAGTTTAAAATGGCACCTTTAATTCCCAGGATTATTACATTCTAAGGCTTAATATTCAGTAATTACATAGAAAACAATGTAAACTGGCATTTTGTGTTATTGAAATATTCGTAAGTTTAGAGGTTTGGACCTTCGAGCATTTCTTTATGTTTTGTATGTGTTAGCATCAAAACTGCTTTATGACTGGTCAGACCACTGACCATTGAGGTCTGTAATTTTTAGATACAAAGCACCTTGTGGACCTGGCTTGTAACTCACTCACTCCCTCACATACTCAGTCACTCATGTTTAATGCTTTCTAGGACCTTTGGGGTACTACATACTGGCGCTCTGCATACATAACGCTTTGTGTCCTTGTTTTAGTCATAGACATAAATCAGGTTCTATGTAGATAGATGCTGAGTGTACAAAGAATTTCCACTGCAATGAGCTGCTCCGCTTGCCAACCAATCAGCACTCACTAGCAGTAATGCCCGCCTTCTGCTGCCCAAAACCAGATTTCTTTGTTTTTTTAGTGAAGCACATCCTTCTACTTTCTAAAATTAAAGAAACGTTCTGTGCAAGTGATTAGAAACTATTTTAACTTGTCATTTTTAGCCATTGAGCACCATTTACTCCCATTCCTTGAGGACTCCTCACGGGCGCCCATCGGCTGTTTAGCAGTCCTGATATTACAGGGGAAATAGGAGGCGGCAAGGCTCCACATAAACTGGCTCTGGTTTCACCATTCCACCCTTCCCCGTGATAAAATCGCAGTAACCCACGGCCTCTCGTGGCTTATTACTTTAATATGTCATGCTTGGCCCATTTTTTTGCCCAGGAGTGTAGTTTGTTGTTTGCATGCATTTGTGTGTGTGTGTGTGTGTGTGTGACACTGAGAGAGAAAGAAAGAGAGAAAGAGAGAAATGACTGTTCTGCTCTCCTCTAACAGGAAGTATCCTATCTGAAGAACAGCATTCAGGATATGAGGATGTGGATGAGGAGCTTCTCTCAGGTAAGAGGACCAGAACATTCACTCACTCGCTCCCTCACATACTCAATCACTCATGTTTAACAAGATTGTCCACAAGGAGAGGCTACTGGCACTCTAGTAACAAGAGTGAAAACAACCTTGTGTTAGCTGAAAGGGCTGAGTCTATTGAGACTACTGTGGACATATGAGAAGTGAATGCTTTCTAGGACCTTTGGGGTACTACATACTGGTGCTCTGCATACATAACGCTTTGTGTCCTTGTTTTAGACCAAAGACATAAATCAGGTTCTATGTAAATAGATGCTGAGTGCACTAAGAATTTCCACTGCAGTTCTTAAAGTTACTCAGTACTTAAGTAGTATTTTAAATAAGTACTTTTGTACTCCTACTTTGTAGAAGGATACTTTTACTTGATAGCGTTACCAGGTGTCCAATTTTGGACTGGACAGTCCAGTTTTGAGGTTGGTACTGTCACCTGGATGTTAAAACATACAGTCTCACTCTAGATGTATTCCATTTACTAAGGTTAATAAAGCCCAAATGTCACCCACTGCTTCACCCATCTCTGTCCTGTCTGGCTTTCAGGAAATTCTACTATTTAATTAATTATTTAATCAAATACTTTTTTACTTCAGTGTGGATTTAAATTACTCCACCCACCTATAACACATTAGTATCTATCCAGGTTGTGCTTTATGTGATCTTCTAGTAACATTTGCAGCACTTTGCTTTTTCAGAGTGAAATTGTCTTTGATAGTGACTTTAGTTTAGTTCTCTGATTAAAGATTCATCTCTGGATCAGAAGAGTTTGGAAGAAATGATATCCTACATAATCTTAATGAAGTAACACACTATTGGTCACAGAAGATTAAACTGAAATTTAAGGTTCATTATTATCTTATTTTCTTAATTTATTCATCCTTTAACTATAGGCTCCTGCATGACAGTTAATAGTTGCAGTATGGACCTGTTAGAGAGACGCACATTGCAGGTTAAGGCAGTAGATTTATGCAAGTTTGTGGTCATGTGAAAATGAATGAATGAATAAATAAATAGCAGAACAGTAAGCAAATCAAATGCCTTCATTTATCCATTCTATTTATCACTGACAAGGGGAAAGAATAAAGCAATATTGACTGTCAAATAAAGGACAATGGTGGTCATTTCATTTTAACAGAGATTTTTGTACTTTTGTGTTGAGTTGACAGGACTTGGAAAAAACAAATGTCAAGTGATGCTTTGAACCAATCATTTTTCAAGCTGATTTTTTGTCTGAGCCAATAGATGTTTGAGTGCTGAGAGTAAATTACACAGAAAGAGTGGGTTCTTTCTGCATGGTTTGTTGGCTAGTTGAACTAATGCTCACATTGTTTGAATGATGTGTTATCTATCATAGCCACCTAGCCAAAGAACTATACTTTAGCAAATGGATGATTGACTAAATTCCTATTAACATGACCAGAGCTCCCATAGTCACACTCAGTTGAATGTAACTTTATCTTCATGATCTGGTATTTCACACAAATTCAGAGTCTGACCTCTGCCAGACAATAAAAGCCTAAAAACAACAAAAGCCTGTTTTTACAGGACTGTTTACACTACCGTGGCCCATAGCCACCGTAAGTCACTGTGCAGTCTGAGACGTTGTCTATCATAGCCACCTGATCTGATCAGTTCAAAGCTAGAAAAACTTCTCTGCCAGATCAGACTGTGTGATCAGGCAGAGATGTTTTTCTAGCTTTGAGCTCTTTTGGAAATATTGTTTAAATGTTTTTTCCAGTCTGATGTTAATTTAATGAACATCACATATCTTTAGATCATTGACATAATTGCAATCAAGTTGGCAGCTTCTCTGAATAAGTATTTCATTTTTAAAAATGAAGTAAAAATGATCAGATTTGTTCTTTTTGCAGCAAAGTCTCTGAAAGGAGTAAAGGCAGAATATTATGATGATGTCACCACCAATGGTCTGATAAGTGAGTTCCTTTATTAATTAATCAACTGATTTTATCTTTAAACATTAAATCACAATCATTACACTGTTTGTAAAGTCGACCGCTGGGATGGGCTCCAGCTCCTCCCACGACCCAGAAGGATTAAGCGGCTTAGAAAGTGTGTGTGTGTGTGTGTGTGTGTGTGTGTGTGTGTTTGTAAAATCAATCTGCTTTTATTTGATTTAGGTGAATCAGCGAAAGACGACACAGCAGAGAGCTATGATGATGTCATCACTGCTGGACAGATCTCTGATAGTGTATCAGGTGTGTTTCTGTTTTGGGGTTTTAGTTTAGAAAGAAGTAGAAATTAAGTAGAGATTAAAATTTTATGAGAGGAGAAGAATCAGTAATGTGGTTGTACTCTATTTTGGTGCAGCATATCATTACTGTTGGAACACAACCTTGTATCTCCAAATTTTTGTTTTTTTCTTTTTTTGGCTTCAATTAAAAATAAGATTTTATGTTCTCCTGTAAAGTTATTATCTAAGTTTTTGATTCGACAGCAATGATATGCTTATCACACCTTTAGAGTCTTGTCTAATATTTGTGTATTTTTTTATTATTAGTTACATTTTTCTAAACATTGAAACCATGTTTTAAATAAAAACAAATTATTAAAAACAAAACTTTCAATAGTTGATAGTGCTAAGTGCTAATATTAGCAACGTAGGTTTATGATTTATATTAGACTTATTGCATTGTTCATTGATTTTGTCTGAATCTGATAAGCACAACTGTGTAAAATATGATTTTATATCATTTAAATGTCTCTGTGTTTTGGTGTAGATGTAGCAGAGAATTATGATGATGTCATCACTGCTGATCAGAGCTCAGCTGTTGCAACAGGTTTGACTTGTAATGTAACAATACTGTGATCTCAAACATGAACACAGTCACTGATAATGCTGATGCTGATTTAATGGCATTTATCTCTATATTTTGACAGAAGACATGCCAGATAACTATGATGATGCTGTTACTGCTGGATCAAACTCCAACATTATGACAGGTAGGTTTTACAAATAATTTTGAACCAAAACTTAAACACAGTAAAAATGCCAGATTTTTGTTATAATGTATGTCCCCCATGTTGGTGTAGTGGACACACCAGAGAACTATGATGATGTCATCACAGCTGGGCAGGATGTAGAAGAGGTAAAAGGTGAGTGGCTGATATTGTTATGTACGCCACTACATTCCAGACGTACATGAATGAAGATGGTAGATTAAGTAATTTATAATCAAGCCTGCTGAAAACTGAAAAATGTTCACATTATCTATGCCATGTAATGGAAACAGCAGTGTCCTCATTATTGTGATGTGGAGCAGAAGCTGCTGTTTTATTTACTTGTACACTCTGAGTGTAGTTTATGAGCTTGTTCAGCAGAGTGTGAAGGCTCTTCCACTAAGTCTGAAAATAGCTAGTGCAGCACTGCCAACTAGATAGGACTGGAAATAATCTGTCCTCTCTGCATGTGTTTAACAGGGATCACACTGTGTTTCTCTGAAGGCATAAAAAGTGAGGCACATCACTCTGTTGTTTTCTCTTTAGGATTTATACTGCTGTGTTTTTCCAAAGCTGCATCAGGTTATCATCTCACTGTTGGTAGCTAGCATTAACGAAAGCTAGCAGTAGCTAATTGGTGAGATAAAAATAGCCAAACTACTTGCTTTGTTTAGAGAACATAACAAAACAGTGAAAAACCTAAAATCTCAAGTTCTGCACTGATAAGACTCCAGCTGTACTAGCCAGTTATTTAAACAGTTGAACCACTGTTTACAAGCAAACATGCTGTAAGCAAAAACAAGTTCAACTAAAAAGCTGCTTTTTGTTTATGTCATGATTTAGATCTGTAATGCTATGCAATTACAAACCTGTCCTCCTTTACAACTGTCACTGAAAGTCTAACTTTGATCTGAATGGTCAGCCCAAAAAATAAAAAGCAACCACTCATGATGCAGCGTACATAAGTAACTTTTCAGCTCAGGACACCTGAACACTCCACAAAAAACATACACAGTGTGAATCCCTGTAAGTGATGGGACGAACAAATGCTTGAAAATTACAGTTAATTGTATTTGAGTCGGACTGTATTTTACACAGTGTGTATAGAGCTTTATAGACCCACTGAGAGGAATCACAATGATGTACTCACTGGCAGCACCAAACAACTTGATCTGAGTCGCACCTGCGGTGCTAAACAGGGAGCTAATTTTCGAACATTGTTGGAATACATTTAAAAAGAATAGCAAGATGTATATTTTGATTTGAAACGGTTAAATATGTTGATTTTTCAGATTATGATGATGTGAAGGAGGAGCCTCAGAAAGAGATGAATCATGTGACTGAAAGTTCACAGCCAGTGTCTTTACTCAGGAAACTACATTCAAACCTCTTCAGACGCAAGAAATGACATTATTATAGATCAACATTCAGAATATTTTATGGAGCATAAAATCAGTTTATTATAGCTTTACACATCTAAACAGGATAAAGTTACTTAAACAAATATAATTTTTTCAGCATTTTATTTGAGTGTCACTAGTCTTAGCTGGAAATATTTACTGAAACATCTCATCTACTTAAGTTGTCCCATCAAAATAATTATGATCTTACTCTGAAGTTTTTATCTCCATGAACACATTTTGTATGTGGTGTAATAAAAGTTGTCAGGTCAAATGTTTTTGTTTTGTTTTTTTGGTTTTTTGTTTTCTTAGAAACTTGTCTACCATTTTTAATGACAATTTTAAGATTTATATCTTTAAATTAAAGGTTAAGGGCTTTTCATTTCCATTGTATATATTTTATATGATCAGTATTGGCTTTCAAAATCAGGAAGCCCCTTATAACTGGTTTATAAAGTAAATACAAAATATAATATTATCATAAAACATATTATGTAATACCATTGTGTTACAATGGTGTTTGCAAGCATTTAATGATTGCTTGATTATGCGTATATTATGTGTAAAATAAAATGTCCACACAGGCATAATAATGACTGCATATTGAATTATATATTTTCATTTTCTTTTAACGTAAGTGTAATGTGTGGTATTGATGTAGTCTTAAAGATCATTCTGTACTCCTCTGTTTTGTATGTGTTGTTTATTATACATGAGTATAAAGATACACAGAGTATAAAGATGAGTCCAACAGCCATACAGTAATACTAAGAGGGTAACTGGTTCATTTTTGCTATTGTTTTCTTTTGTTTTCTCCTTTTTAATCATAATAAAACTGTTCTTCCTAAGAAGTCTGAATAAATCAGTTTTAATAAATCACTTTTGAACTGTGTCTGTGGTGGTCTTCAGTGCAGGGCTCTAAGCCATATAAATAAATATATATGTCCAACTGGACATTAAGATGGTGACTCCTCTGTTATATCTACCAGTGCTGCTATGTTATTGCACTTACCATTCAGTATTTTTTTTTCCAGATTGGTTGAACATCGAAAAAGTTGTGTCTCTGAGTATTGATATTACAGAACCTGTCCCAAAAGACTCTTGGAAAACGGCTGCACAGCCAAACTCCCAAAACCAATCCCACATCCCAGACTTCCCCAAACACTGGCGCTCAGCCCTTCACCTGTAGAAGCTTTAATTGGCTGAGCTACTCAGAAGACAATAATATTACGTGTATGAAACCTGGATATGCATAAAAAGAGCCCTTTCACCAAAAATGGTGTTTGAAACCCTCTATCAGATGCTGAGACTCTTTGTCAGTAGCCCAGAGCTCAAGGTGCTGCAGGACCCTGGACAGCGTCCAGAATAGAGCTGGTGAAGGTCATCAGGGAGATATTCTTGAACTCAGCCAAACCACTGAACTTTACACAGCCCAGATGAAGAGCAGCTGTGCGGAGGCAGGAACTGCTGTTGTTTCTCACATTGTTCCTTTTCTCAGAGAGAGAAAACATGGAGCAGAATTACCAGGAGGGCAGAACCACACATAACCAGCGCTACCACACACCATCTTTCATATCTTAGCAACTCTACCATGCACAGCCTACTTCACATCAAACCAGCTCTACCACACACACCTTACTCACACCTAAAAAGCTCTACCACACACCCTCACACACACCTAACCAGCCCTACCATACACACCCTCACTCACACCTAAAAAGCTCTACCACAAACACCCTCACTCACAGCCAACCAGCTCTACCACACACATCTACATTTAACTAGGTGTACCACACACATTCTCACTCACACCTAAGCTGTTCCACACACACACACACACACACACACACACCTTAACCAACTCTACCACACACACCTAACCAGCTCTAATACACACCCTCACACACATAGCCAGTTCTAACACACACACCCTCACACACACACTGGAATGTTTGGCTTAAGCCTTGACGCACAACAGCCATAGAAGATCTGATTAATCTATATAGGTCAAAAGTCAACTAGTAAGGCTTAGCTTATTGTTAAGTTACACCTAGACTGTTCTGAGGCCAGTTTTGTGACCACACACTCTTCACGGTATCATGGTCAGACTGAGTACAGTATTTAATATGACTGACTTATCAATCTTGCCCCTACATGCAGTCTTTTGGGTGGGCTTGCAGAGGGATGTCATGTGGGAATAAAAAGTTTACACTTAGTTCTCTGTTACCCACAGTCTCTCCATCATTCTACAGTTCAGATTGTGATACTGTGTGATTTCAACTAGCACTTATTTACCCACTACACATTATAACTTATAGATGCATATCATATGGAAGGAGGTCAGAGAGATGAACTAAGCAGCTGTGTTCCCCTCAGGCTTTATATCACTGACTAGTCATGAGATCACATTAAGAAATGTATCACTGGCTTGATATCACTAACCTGTCAAGAGGTCACATTGAAAAATATCACATCATCTTACTAATCCAATGTGTCCATTTCTGGTCACTGCTAGTCAAGAGCACAGCTACTCACCCCTATGGAACTCAGGGCAAATGTTGATCTCTTATCACTCCAAAGAGCAACTTAATACTGTATAAGGGTTTCCTTCTCCAAAACTAATGTATTTAAATTATTAATCAAACAGCAGATTCTAAGTAGTGTTTGTCCCTGGAACCCTGAAGTATTTACACATTATACAACCTGTGAACCTGCGTGATCAGTTGGAAGTATATGGAGTCTTTACAGTGACGGTAATAAAAACACAAACCAAAAACAGTAGCTGTTATTATGTATTTGAAAAAACATAGGTGAACAGAACGTGTGAACATGTATGGGAACCAGTTAGTTTGAAAACCAGTTGAGACATAACGCTGCGGCCAGTACAACAACTTGGCGGCCAAATCCATAAAAAGTCATGTTGCTAACCATGGCATAAAAAGGCAACTAGCCTACTACAAGCGCAGACACTTTCGATTAAAATGTTTACTGGAACTGAACAATTGTTCATACAGCTCAACCTGCTTTCTCGGTTTTGACGGTGAATTTTTGAAGGCATTGATGAAGTTTGCGAGCGGTAAACAGAGCAAACATTTAAAACAATTTGGCATTGTAGCTGCTATTGGCTCTCTTTTGTGTATTTAAGTGTCAAATTATCTGCTATAAAAATATTGTCTCTCTGCTTCTGTACTGCTGATATCTGTGATATTTCTCCTTACACTGTTAGAAATAAGATATTGCGCAGGTACATTTTTAATCAAGGAACAAACAGTGTGAAAGTTCCATCAAAGGTACAAATAAGTATGTATTTATACATTTTCATAACCTAATGTTTTAAAACAGTACAATAAAATAAAAAGGCTGGAGACGAGACAGGGATGTGTGGAGTCAGTATAACCTGAGCGTACAGAAGAGATACTGCCCCAGTGACAGTTTTGTACCTTTATTTCTGAGAGTGTAGATTTGTAATGGAAACACGAAGCTTTTTGACCTCTTTTCCTGTACAGTGTACGGTTGGTTGCTTCGCAACTCTTGATTTAGTCATCGTTCTACTTTATTGAGGCTATTCGTTGATTTCCGTTATTTCTCTTAATTCATGCTTCGGCCCGCTCCCGCCTGCAGTGGGCTGGTTCCTCACCCACTGCCACACGCAACACTGAAAATTAGTCCCGCGCTGCAAGATATGGTGGCGGGTCCGGCAGATCCAACAGGAATCAACGGGAGTGCAGACCTTTAGTGTAACTCAAAACAGGACAGAATGTGTAACTGATTCTCTACATACATAAAATGTTTTTGTTACAGAGTTTAGGTATGACTGACTAAAATTTAGCATGACCTCACACTTGCATTTTTAAGTAGTATTTCTTCATCATTTTTGAAGTTGGACTGCAAGTGAAACCGTGTTTGCACTGCACTTTTTCGACAGTGTTTTCATGTTGCATCTGCTTCTTTTCTTTTCATTGCAAAACTGATACACATGAACACATATTTAGTAAAATAGAATGACAAATTGTTTTAAACAGTGTTATGTCCTTACAACTACACTGTACTATATATGACTGAAATGACTTGATTTTGGTGGATATATTCTTTTTTTTTAATAGATTTCTTGGCATTTTATTAAAGTAAAGGAAATACACTGTACTTAAATACAAGTGTGTAATTAACAAGTGTACAGTTTCACAACATGTAAGTAATAACTTCACAGTTAAGAGGAGAGAGTTGCACATCGAAGTGCACACACACACACAAACACATACATACATCTCTCTTTAACACTTTTAGCTTCATTGGGTGTTTTTAGGGGTCAGATTTCCTGCTATATAAAAGCTCTCAGCTACCAAGCATCAACTGGAGCATGAGAACTGTTAACATTAATGTAAAACAGATGCCAATTAAAGAGCTAGTCAGAGTGAAAAAGCTGGCACATCTGTAATAATGATATTTACTTATGCTTTAGCAAGTTTAGCAAGTCTTTCTGAAATAACTGGAATGAGATTCAGTGTGTGGTTAAGAACCACTCATTCCTTTGAATTTATAGAATGGAGCTGAAGAAAGATCAAGGTGACCTGAGAACTGTGAAGTTGTGGGGTGGCTGGGTCTTGGGGTTTCAGCTGTGATTCTTGTATGTGTTAATGTAGATTCTGATGTGATGTGGTCTTTTTAACTGGGTCAGACAGCAGAGGTAGAGCACTATTTCCTGAAGGCCACAGAGCTGGAACCCACCAAGGGAAACTGTTACATGCACTATGGTAGGGCAGTACAACCAGATCAGCCCCTAATCTCTCTAATTTAATTCTTCTTAATTAATAACATTTAAGCTGCTGATGAGCAGATAGTAAGAGTTTTCTTTCACAGTATGAACCAAATGCTGACATGTTTAAGAGCACAGTTATGTATTGAGGTGTTATTATTTGGGAGATGCAAAATGACTCTATCCATACACAGAACCTAAACTATGCTCTGATCTTGCTAATGGAAGCCACCCCCTCTATTGCTATTCTCAAGCTGCAGTACAGAAGATCTTAATGCTTAATTCTGCTGTTGACATGAAAAATGGAATTCACACAGACATTATTTACATAGATTGTTACCTCATTTTCACCTGAAGGAAATTATTTTTGCAACATACCACTTCAATTTATTGATTTTAAGGGGTCAGGTGGTCACTGTGTGCCATAATGAC